GTGCTGTGACAGTTCTGTGGAAAAAGGAAGATTGTTTTGTGACACCTCTGTGGAAAAAAGAGTTCGTTCTGTGACAGCTCTGTGGAAAACAGAGATTGTTCTGTAGTAATTGCGTAGCGCAGAACATAAGTACGTAAATGGGCGGAATGTTACAGTAATGTGCTAAATCTTTCTAATAGACATTAAACTGGTCAACTGTTAATCAGTAAATATTTGACCACTTCAAAATTCTTAATTGCACTTTAAAAAAATTCGCGTATGTGCACACTGGTGGCAACTACTTTACACTATAGTGGTGTTCCACTAAGTGTTTTAATACTACAAAACCATGCATAATGCCTGTTGTGGTGAAACACCTAGAATGCTATTTTGCACTATTTTGTGTAAAGTATCCGCCACCATGTTTGTTGTTACAGTAGAATATGATACACATAGGAATCAGTAAAGTTATTTTTACCATACAATCCAAAGCAAAAATCATAAATTTAGGATACATATGAATAATATTTCTTAAAGTAAAATTGTTGGTTAATCAAACACACACGCAGCGCAGACAGAATATTAATATGAATTCGAACAAAATCGAAATGAATCGAGGTTAAGTATTATAAAATTATTTTATAAAATTGACAGATTTATGTGAATCTTATGCGAACATAAATATTTTTATTTTACAACTAAAAACATACATACATTTTATAACACTTTATATGAATAGTTTGCCAATCAATCTATCAAATCAATTTTATGTCAATCAAATCAATTATAATATAATTAGCTTTTTACACATCTAAAAGCAGGCATACATAATTTATCGACGAGCTTTTGTTTCAGTTGATATTTTATAGCGGCATGGAAGAAAACATAAAACACACGCCAATTCTTATTCAATGTAAACAGACAACTGGCAATATCTAAAACGCGCCAACGTTGGTGTTTTCGGATGTGTATCTAATTTTGGTGTATGCTTTCTCGTTCATTGAATTGAAGTTTTAACAATACCCTTTAAAAAGAAGTGGGAATGAACTTTCGATTTGAGATTAATTTGAAATACGCCAAACTTTTTTGAGTTTTTCAACACCAAATTCAGATATAATCTATATTATATCTGAATTTGGTGTTGAAGATACATAATATGGTGTTGAAAATATGTTTTTTTATAGGTATTACACCACAGTTTCTATAGTGTACATTGAACATAGAGGTTAATAAAAATATTTAATAACACCATAATTATTATGGTGTTATTAAATATTTAATAATTAAATCAAATTTTTTGCACTAATTTAAGTTTTTAGAAAAAAAGGCACATTTTTACACCGTCCAGGTAAAAACTTTGTTATACTTCTATAGTTTATGAACAGCGCATATTTTGAAAGCCAATCTTAACACAGTTTTAAAAGAAAGTGTTAATGTGGAGTTTCCCTATATTTGAGCATAGCGAAACAGCAGCCTTACTAAACTTTTTAGAAATTTAGTTTTAACTCAGGTTTTGAAAAGAAAAAAAATGAACAAGTTTTTTCTAGGAAAAAGCTTTGGCTTACTTTATCAGTAATTTTTAGAACGAAATAAGTATTTGTTTTTCTCCAAAAAGCCTTGACAATTCACTTCCGGTTGTATAATGAAAACGCCCCAAAGACGAGTAGGAGAGGCCTACTTAGCAACAAATGAAGAACAAACCATGAACTTGCAAAATTGTTACAAAGTGTATATACTTAAGATTCTTCATTTATATGAAGATTTATTATATCAAAAAATAATAAATAAGTGAACTCAGACCTACATTTGCGTTTAAACTGTAATCAAGTAGTTAATAAGGTGACCCAGCATGTTATTTTTTATAAAAATACCATATAGGACATTATTATTTTTACCTTAATCATGAGATAATTAAAAATTTGTGAAACAAAACTTAGTGATTCTTTTCAGCATCATAATAAATAATAATTGGGTGTTTCAGAATTGAAAAAACAAAAATACATATTAATCTTTAATGCATATGCATCAGTAAATTAATATGATTACCTTTGTTTTTTATGTTTTTAATCAACTTTAATTCAGCGTTGTAATAAAAGTAAATTAAATAATTAAATTTACAAAATGTTTGTGGCATAATAAAGATAAACCACACTTTTTCAAAAGTGACTTTTTTTCCCTACATCTTTGGTTGTTTCCTCACAGGTACCTTAAGGTACCCAAATTTTCTCTAGATTAATTCAAAATACAGTCGAATTCGTTTATAACGAGCACAAAGGGACCGTAACATTGTACTCGTTAAATCCGAGTGCTCGTAATAAACGGGTCCTTAAGGCAGGCGTGCCACCAGAAGAGGGGGGGAGTCAAATGATTGAGTTTACTTAAAATTTAATTAATACTTACTTACTTTATTTACATTAATTAGTTTACTTAAATATTTTTCTTGCTTACTAAATTAGTTCTTACTTACTGAATTTAACTAAATACTTTTATCGGTCATGACGTCACGACCTGACGTCATGACCGATAAGGCACGAAATCGATACGTCACCGCCTACTCTCACGTGACTTTTCCCCTGCTTTAGATTAGAGCAATTAAGTTTTAGATTAGAGGCAATTAAGTTTTAGTTCGCGCTTTTTTTTTTTCTTCTCTTTTTTTGATTTCGCACGCATTTCTTATAATTTTGAAAAAAAGATAAGACTAGAAAGATGAGAAAAAAGATTGCAAGACAGAAAAATATTGCTCGCTGAAACCGGGTCTTTCTCGTTAAAAGCGACTTCTCTTCCATAGACTTAACATTAATCCAACCAAATATTCTCGTTTCCCTCGGTAAATCCGAGTTCTCGTTAAATCCAAGTTCGTTATAAGCGAGTTCGACTGTACCTGAAAAATCGTAATTCTTTTTACTAAAAATTCACTACTAGACAAACTTAAAATTTTGCTTACTATTATATTGCCCAAAACATTTAAAATCCTTTTTTTTATCTACGCAACTGGCCAAATATTGCCTTATTTTGCCTAATACTTATCCGTCCAGAATTGTTTGCTCTATCATTAGCCAACGCAGGCATTCTTTGAAAATCAATTATTTATTCTAATATAAAAATTTTCGGTATTAATCTACTGGTGATTTACTATAAAATGACAATTTTCACCATGCGGACGGATATGTGTTAGTTTTGAAACTGTAAATAGATCAAATATATCCGCAAATTTAAATATTCGATTATTTTGATTTTTTCCCTATAATTACAGTTACGATATAAATTGTTTAGTTGAATCAGTCGTAAACCGTAAAATCAATTTTTACAGTAAAATATTGTACGGTAATTTTTAGTTTAATAATTATTTAATCAGGGTGATTCTGTGATTTCACGATAATTATTGCTATAAAAATTACGGTGTATCAATTTTTTTCCAATCAATTATCAATTCAGTATATCAATTTTTTACCGTATTGTACGGTAAAAAGTACCGGCACTCTAAGTGCCGGTATTTCTCTTAAATTTTTTTTATTCGCTTTGAAGCAACTGAACACATTACTTTTAATATATTTTGGTTCTGAAATATGACTGCAACTGAAATCATTTATTGATAGGTTTGTTATAATTCAGTAATTTGTTTAAATTATTTTCATTATAATCTATTTTCACACCAAATATTCCTACATCACGGATGTTTAAAAAAATATTTTTTTTTCATGTATCATGTCACTTATTTTTTTCATAACAACAGCTAATATTAGGACAAGGAAGCTAGCTGAAACGTTGTTCTCAAAATAACAAGACTTTCAAAATAACAGAACTTTTTTGTATATAAGATCTTTAGCAAAGAAAAACGATATTAGAAAAAAATTATTTTATCCAAAACCAACAAGTCTCGAACTAAATCTGACGAATAGTCCTTGAGAAATAAAAATTTAAAAATACGATTTTTTAAAAATATAATTACGCTATTTGCTTATTTAGCGCAAATTTTGTACTTTGCCATTTAAAATTACATGTTCCTCTGCTATTTATTTTGCACACTAAAGTTATAGAAGGTTCCCGTGATTGGCCATTAACATTTTGGACACCTTTCTTGATGGAACATTTGATATCAATATGAAACTTTGATACGTTTTAAATCTCTTATATAATATCTTTATTTTCATCACTAATTTGAAAACATTCAAAAACAGGAAAAATGGAAAACTAACCAAAACAGCAATTTTATCCCAACTCGAGTGAAATAGATTAGATGAAGATTCGAGTGATAGATTAGATGATAGATTAGAAATAGTGAGATAGAATAGATATTGATATGAAACTCAAATTGATATACTTGATATTGATATGTTGTTACGGTCTCGTTTCCTTATATAACATCTTGATTTTCATCATAAATTTGAAATTTTTTTTTCTTCCAATGCCCATCCGATAAACGCGCACTCGTCGTTCAGGTATCAGGAGAGTAGATCGTTGGTCATTCTTCCAGGGGCACCATATTTGGTGGACCAACGTTGCACCCACAGTATGTACAGAGAATAAATTAACATCCACGCTTTCTCCCGGATTCGAACCCAGGACTTTTCTGATGTGAGGTCAGGTCCCTGACCACAGCACAGCCGGTCTGCTAAATTTAAAAACATGCCAAAACCAACCAAAACAACAATTTTATCAATAAACATCCTCAACAGAACTCGAACAAAATAGGTCAAATAGTTAAGAAAAAAAATTTAAAAAAAATATAACTCAGAAACTATTTGCTTAATTATCTAAATTTTAAATGCTGCATATTTAAAATTACATGTTTTTCTACTTTTTATTTTACGCACTAAAGACTCATAAGATTCCTTTGGGACACTTCGTATCTTTTCTGATGGGTCATTTGATTTTGATAAGAAACATTGATACGGTTATATTCTTTTATATAACATATTAATTTTCACCATACGTTTGAAAACATTAACAATGAAAAATTTAAATCAAAAAAAGAGGAAAAAAAATTTATAATTTTTAACTCAAATTGTTTTGTTTTGCAGGGTGAAGAATACGAAATTGTAGACGATACTAGAGAACATTGGTGGCAAGTCAAGAATAAATATGGGTAAGCATATTTTTATTAATTTTGAAAGAAAATTTTAAGACATTGAAATTGACTTACATTCAATTCAATATATTAAGATTGTACTGAAACTGTTTATTTCCTAAAACCGAAATCAGTAAACTTTCGCCAATAATATTGAACGAAAGATACCTCTTTTTGTTGATAATGTATCATGACATAAATTAGTAAGTCAAAATAAAATTTCAGTAAATTTTTATGATAAGACTTTTCACATAAACAAATTTTACATTTTACAAGTTACATCTGATAACACGAGTAACTATTTTCATTTATAAATTCAAAAGTTTCTTTTGGTTTTAATTTTATTATTCATTTTTCAGTGACATAGGTTACATACCAAGTAACTACGTAGAAGAAAAGTCACCTGGTGGGATGAGGCATCACAGGTCTGCTTATCTTTCATTTTTTATTACATTTTCAAATCTTATTTTTCTATTTTCAAATCTTATATTTTTCTCAACTTCAAAAATAGTAAGTTTTGTTTCGAAATTTTTGAGGGACGTAGATAAATGCTTGCGATATTTATGTATATTTTTATTTTTACAATTTTAATCGTCCTGAACAATCTCAAACCTACCAATTCGTTTCCCCCCCCCACACACACAGAATCAGCTTTTATGGATATAAACAGTCTTCCCCCTTGATCTTTCACCGAGAGTGTTAAATATCTTTATTTTATTCCATTTAATAGAAAAGAAAGACATGGTGTGTAGCGTTCTTAAAAAGTGCTTATTTTCGATTTTCGTTATTTAAAAGCCCTTAAAGATGCTTTTTCATTGTGTGTTTTTAAAAAATGCTTAATTTTTTTCTTTTCAAAAATGAGATTTTTTTTTTATTATGTCGTTACCATGTCGATTTTCACCACACATTATGCAAAACCGTGCTTTTCCCATTGTCCTATTGTACGTTCTCACAATTCATTTCGGCGGTCCGTAGCGTATGAAAGCGCCAATCATTTTACATGTTTGATGAATTATTCTCAAGTCCGCATGTGCGTCTACTGAGCTGTGTTGCGTGAGATTATTGCGTTCTCATCTGCAACTCTGCTGCATTTTGCAAGATATTCTCAATTTCTGACTTCATTTTCCACCCTCTGATATCGAACCGACAAATCTCTCGATCATTTTATAACGGCTAATATAATCAAGAAAAGAGTTATTTGTCACAAACTAGTTATTTTCTCATGACCATCTAAAGTCTTTGAAAATTATTTTGCATTTTGTTAATGTATATAGTGCTTGAAAATATTTTTTGAGTGCTTAAAAAGTACTTAAAAGGTGCTTATTTTTTGTTGAAGGATTTGGCCACGCACCCTGGAAAGATTATTTTTTAAAATTTCATTATATGTCCAAAATGTCACCAAAAAATTTATATCTGTTTCAAATGTTCTTTTTTCTAGCTGGTATGTGGGGGATATGTCTCGGCAGCGATGCGAAGTACTATTGAAAAGAGAAAATAAAGAAGGAACCTTCATTGTTAGAAATTCGTCATCAAAAGGAATGTTTACTTTATCTCTCTTTACAAGAGTGTAAGTGCAAAAATTTATGCATATTATCTTGATTGGAAATTTTACGTAAGACATGATTATATAATTCTTGTATAAAAGTATAAGTTAATAGTCATAAATTGTTTTGAATTTTTAAAATAATTTAATAATAAAACAAGTTTTTCGTCGTAATTTTTATTACGTTTTTTACATAACTTTAAAATGATAAGTTATTGGTCATACGAAATTTTACGTCTTTAATTGCATTTTCAACATAATTTTATAACATCTAAATAATAAGCTATTGGTCGTAAATTATTTTACGTTTTTAACATATTTTATAACATTAAAATAATCAGTTATTAGTTGTGCATTTTTTTTTTACTATTGTAACTTAACTTTTTAATGTGATACTCAGAAAGGAAAACTCAGCGGACTTATAGGATGTTGACAGTTAAAAAGATTAAGTTTGACAAAATTCTTTGTTTTTCTCGATCAATGACAATTTTTTTTTTCTAATGTTGCTCAAGAGAACAAAATAGTCTAAGAATAAATTTTCCCTAAACACCGTAGAGCATTCTGTTTTTCGTGATTCAATAACGGCTTAAATTAACTCTTTACACTACCAGTATAATTTAAGTAAATAACAGTTGCACTAATTTTATTTTATAATGTAACCGTCGTTGAACAGTCAACCCAATTTTATGGGTTTACGACTACTAATATTCAACTCCTGGATCGAGTATTGGGAGAAATTTGCCTTCGTGGAGGACTTTTTGATGGAGCTCACCCGTATTTGCGTTACATGGAAAGAAAGACCACGAGAACCTCTCACGGTTAGCCTGACGGCAAGGGGGCTCTAACCCATGATCCGTCTACCACTGAGGATATGTCATGTCAGCACTGTGGTCGGTGCAAGCCGGATGCGGAGTTCGTATCGACCGGGATTCGAACCCGTCTCGCTTCATTGGAAGGCGAACGCTCTATCCCCTGAGCCATCACGGCTAAGTTGTACTAATTTGAGAAAACTCAGAAAATATAGTTTTTTTAAATGTGTTTTCAACAGTTCTGAAACCACAGTTTCGTGATAAAAGTTTTAAATAGCGCTAAAATCTATAAAAGTTTTCTTATCATACCTTCTTTATTATTTTAAAAATTATTCTAGTTTATTATTGATTCTAGTAAAATGATTCTCTGAAGATTCTAAAAATGTAGTAAATCTAGCGTTTTTTAAAAAAAAAAAAATAAACAAATTATGTAATAATTTTTTTCTAAATTGTTTCCTTCTCACTCTTTTTTTTTTAAAAAAAAAAAGAAAAAAAAATTTAAGCGTTACTCTTAACAGCCATCTTAGAGCCATCGTAGATCCCAGTGTGGTTAGAGAATCCTACTTTAATCCGGAGTGGGCCAGGGTTCAATCCTCTACCCTTCGAGTACATACAGTATACGTACTCGTAAAATCTGTGTGTAATTAAAAGTTCTGTAGTTGGTCACTGAGGAGTATCAAACGTATACTGATCTGAAGAAAATATCTTTCTCTTTCAGATCTATGTCTAAATTGAGGAAGTAATCTCGCGAATGAGTGGTGCTGCCATCTATCGGTGGGATTCTGGGCTAAAACGTACTTTCACCCTTGTGGTGATCTTTTGTCAAACGAAAGGCGAACCTTACTGACTTATTTAGTCGAAATGCCAGTGACTGGCGAGTTTAGCTTGTCCAAGTGTCATTAGAAACAACAACACATTCATCAACGATTTATAGTTGAAATAAATCAATATTTATATTATTACTTTCAGGTCCCAACCTCACGTCAAACATTATCATATCAAAACTAATTCCAAAGGAGAATATTATTTATCCGAAAAGCATGCTTTTCCTACAATTGAAGAACTTGTATATTATCATAAACATAACAGTGCTGGTCTGGCCACACGTCTTAAAGCAACGCCAAGCAGTCATGTCACCAGTATTCCTACAACTGCTGGCCTTAGTCATGGTGAGTTGAAGAATTTTGATTTTATATGAAGTTTTTAAGTTCTTAATCGAGTAGAAAACCCATTGAGCAAAATAAAACATATACTATTTTATTTTGCACATTTCTTAGGATAGTCTAGGGCAGGGTGTGAAATTTCCGCTCCCTAGCTTGCCATTAACAATTAGGATGGAGAGTAAATTTTCTCTTTTAAAAAGTTGAGTTTTAAATTAAAGGAAGATACGCTTGCTATTTACCTATGGAACCATTGTTTGTGGAAACACTGATATGTAGCAGTATTTTATTTACGTCGTATTAGAGCTGCACAATGGGCTATTGGCGACAGTCTGGAAACCATCCTTGAGGATGATCTGAACACACGCAATTGCAAATTTGACCCTCTGCACAGGGAATGACTCCCCCGCTTTGATACAAAGTAAAAAAACTGTATTATTACTAGAAAATCTCTAGGAAACCTGGATTCCACAAGTTTTTCTAGTTATCCATTCAGTTTCTTTGCAAGTAGTATTACTGAACTAAACTTGGAAAAGAACACAGAATTCCTTATTAATCATACCAAGAAACTGTTAGTAACATCAAAAGAGCTTTCTTTTCATTTTACAAAAAAAACAATCAATGGTGAAATCTTTTAGCAAATATGCAAGAAAAACCACTTGTAACGCTATTAAAAAACTATTAATAGATCTTGTGGCTTTTCTTCTTTTTGATATTTGCACACAACTATAAAGTTCGTTTTTCCAAATATAATTCCATGCAAAAAAAAAGTAAATATTTACTATTTTTTATTATTTTATTTAATGACAGTCGAAATCCTTTTGAATTGTAATGTATACAAGTTTTTACTTAATTTTAAAATATCTAATTTCACATGGCAAAATATAAAATGTGAGCGAAATCGGTTGAATAGTTTCTGAGAAATCGGATTTTTAAATATACGACTTTTTTAAAATACGATTTTTCATGAACTATTTAACCAATTTCGCTAAATTTTTGTATTTTACCATGTACACTTAGGTACCTTAAAATGATGTAAAAAATTTATACCTTATAATTCAAAATGTTTTCCGAACTTCATTAAATAAAAAATAATGAATATTTATTAAAAGTTTTTTGCGTGGACTTAACTTTGGATAAATGAATTTCAAAATTGTGTAAAAAGATTTTCCAATTCGCTGAAAAAGTTCTCGAGATATCGCAAAATACGCAACAAGTAAAATTAACACTAAGGGATCCAAACTTAAGACCTCTCTCCTGACTAAACAATTGGGACCATATTTTCTAGATTGTGGCTATACCCTATATTTTGGGGATCAGAAATCCGAATCCACTGAAGAAAGGATGTTTATTCAAAGAAACTACGTTTTTGTCTGATTTCGTAAGTTAAAATATTTTCTGCACTAATTAATTAGCTTATTTGAGATCACCTCTTCAAACTATTAAGATTGAATCCTAGAACGTGAAGATCTGATCTATATTTTTATAGATTGCAATGAATTGGCTAGAACGTCAATATGATGTTGATCCGGTTCAGTTGATTTATTTGAAAGGAATAAGGGATATATGGCTGCTAAAAAAAAGCATCTTCTTTGAAACAAAAGTCTTTGCTGGATTTCTTTTGCAATGGAAAATAAAGAAAAGTATGGTAAAATCAGTAATTGACAAAAAAATTATAAAAAGCTGAAATATGAAAATTAATTCAAAATGAAAAATAAAATTTAAAAAAAATAAATAAATAAATTAAAAATATTTAAAAATTAAAAAAAACAAACTTTTAAACACGCCAGAGCTATTTTAGATAGTACTGCCAGTCCTAAGCCTAGAAAAAGTGTGAAGTGCAAAAATAATAATCATTTAAACTGGATTTTAAACAACTTTTCAATTATCTGAACTTTTCACTATCCGAATCACGTTCGGTCCCGAGCAGTTCGGATAATCGGCGCTCTACTGAATATAAATTAAGGGGAGATAGTTTTTATCCAAAAACTGAAAAAAGATAAACACATACGTATCATTTGTCATACAGCTATTTTGCTAAGCATAACCCTTTTTTATTTGCATATTTATAATATTTGAATCTTAATTTCTCTTATTGCTTTCTAGCATCGTAAAATATTTTATTTTAGTAATATAAATTTTAATTATGATTTATGATTATTTTTATAACTATTAATTTTCAGATAAATGGGAGATAGATGCATCAGAGCTTACTCTTCTAGAAGAACTTGGAAGTGGCCAGTTTGGAGTAATTATATCTAGATTATATTTTCATAATTTTATCTATTTATTATTATATCTATATTATATCTACATTTGAAATGTTTTATCTAATAATCATTGCATTAATTACAATGATGGTAACGTTTAAAAAAAATTTGAATATTATTACAATGTGTCAAAATTTTTATCTACTAATAAAAATAAGCAAAAAAAATTTTTTTTTGAATTTTATTATCTTTTAAGTTTAAAATATTAGTGGAGGTGAAAAAGAATTCGCCATGAAAAGTTTCTCCTGCAGTATGCCTTACAAAAAAAATAAGGTGGTTCTTAGGTTGAGAAATGTAAAAAAAAATACACCTGTGGTAAAAAATGTGGTTATGTTTTGCACGAAAATTAACTTCATCAATACACCTTAATTTCAACCTCATTTACACCTCATAAAATCAACCTCATATATAGCTCAGCAACACTTTTAGTTGAAATCTTGTGAAATTATTCACACTTAAAATATACTTATTCGCTTGATGTGTAGAAAAAATAACCTCTCTGAAATGGTTGCTCTAACGTGGATTTCTACCAACCTCAAAGCATCACATGTGAATAAAACGACTTCTTACACCCTGATTATGAACTTTGGGAGATCGTTGGTTTTCAAGTCAACCTCGAATAAACCTCAAATCAACCATAGCACTTCAAAACAAGCTCAAATAACCCTCAAACAACCTCAAAAATACCTAAATTTCTTAAAGCTCGGCTCTTATAAATACTCATAACAAATAATTGTTTAAATATAACAATCATATCGGCATTTGCAAACGTGGATTTAAAAATGAACGCGTGAGTGTTTCTGTCAACCAGTGAATGGGCAATAAAGAATTATTTCTTTTAATTATTACATATTATTATTAAATGTATTATTATATGATATATATTATTATTACATGTAATTACATATTAATTATTACATATTATTATTACATGCAATTACATATTAATTATTACATATTATTATTACATGCAGTTACATATTAATTATCACATATTATTACATATTATATTTATTATATTTTTTAAATGTTTCTTGTGACATATTTTTAGGTTGTACGAAAAGGAAAATGGCGTGGACATATAGATGTCGCCGTCAAAATGATGAAAGAAGGCACAATGTCCGAAGATGATTTCATCGACGAAGCAAAAGTTATGACGTAGGTTATTGGATTTTTTTTAAAAATACAGTCGCTTTATTTAGATACTATTTTTCAGGAAACATTTACTTCAAGATAGAAAAAAAATTTGTGTGGAATAAAATTTGCTTAAGAAAATCCTATATTTTTATTTAATTTTTAAGCGACAATTATTTTAAGTCGTCATAAACTTTTGTATAAAGTTGCATTCCTAAATTTGAGAATTAAACCTTCACCTGATAAGCAGATAACATGAACTCTAAATGCCTTAACGTCATTATTACTCTAAAATTCGAAATTTTTTTAAAATCCTGCTTTAAACACTAAATTGGGAAGCCAATTTGAAAATAAATAATATAATTTTACAGTAAAATGCTCAGAAGACATAATTTTCCCATTATGATCCTTTTTCATATTTAAAACTTGTTGATTTTTATTCGTATAATATATTAAAAATTATCTGTTAAAAATAAACTGATCTCGAGAGCTATTAAACTAAAAGTTTACATAACAATTATCCTTCTGTGGTGACATATGGCTGCAAGACTTGAACTTTGACAAAAAGGAATATAATTGACTAATTTTTAAACAAAAAAATAACATTTTTGGCCAAATACAGCTAATTAATAATTATTGGAGAATAAGAACTAATGATGAACTGAAAGCTCTAATCAAGCATAGAAAGATAGTAAAATTTATCAAGTATAGAGGCTTTCATAGCTAGGTCACATTGTGAGATCACCTGACAACCGAGAGATAAATATCTAGTATTGGAAGCCCATGTGAAATAGGCCAAGAGACAGGCTAACGAAAAGATGGATGAATGATGTCTTGAATGATTTAGAAACTTTAAAGATCTCAAGCTGGAAGATCAAGGTCAGGGACAGAGCTGTCTGGAGAAATATTGTGAAGTAAGCTAAGGCATACTCCTGACTGTAGTGCCAATAAAAGAAGAAGAATATGAAAATTCCGCAATAAAATTAAGCATAATTGTCCAAAAATTTAAATATGAATGTTATGAATTGAAATAGCACTATATTGTGTGCGAATCAAATGTCGAAGTCAATAGAAAAACGTAGCCTTCATGATTTTTTTTATATATTTTATTTAACTACACTTGAAGGAATATAAATAAGCTTGCAATGAATATTACAACTCTAAAGAACATTTATTAACGATAGAGTTTGATTATACGTTTTATTTCCAAAAAAAGCAACTGAAATTTTTGTGTCTTCATTTTTTTTTATGAAACTTTTAATTACAACTCAGGATATTTGAGAAAGAGCAGAAGACTTTTGTTAACAATACACTGTTTTGGATACTTCAATAAATGATTAAGAACTAAATTTAATGTGCTTTAGTTTCGTTGAAAAATAATAATTTTTAAAATGATATTGAAATAAATATTTCGAAATATTCTGCAGTGGGAAATTGCGACAAAAGTATATGAAAACTGATATTTTTTTTGTTAAATTAGTGCTTGACAGTTTCACTTTAAATAACCATGAATTGTATGCTTTATTATACATTATCACTAAGCATCTTTCATTTAAAAATGTGAGGTATAACTTCAGTTTACTATTTGATTTTAGAAAACTTCAGCATCCGCACTTGGTACAATTATATGGAGTGTGCACGAAGCATAGATTAATATGTATAGTAACAGAATATATGAAACATGGTAAGTACATAACTCCATAACCATGATTTTTTTAATAAAACAAACCTTCATTCATTATTTATATTCGATTCTAAAAAAATTTGTAAATAAACTTATTTGGTATTTTGTATACTTTCCTTTATTCAAATTCGATCACAGTACAAGATGATTAATGAAAATTTAAAAATCCTGTATTAATTTAAATCCTGTATTATATATCTTTATAATAAATCCAGCATTATTATTTTTAAATATTAAGCTATATTTTGTGTCATGAAAACTATTCGTTTATTAAAGTGCTCGTTTTTATTTATCGATGCAGTTTGTTGCTTTCCAAAATAGTAGTGTTGTTTTAAATACCATTTTTTCAAACAAAAATTATAGTTTTAGGTTTTTAAACTGCTTCGTAAGATATGTGGAAGAAACAGAATATTAATATATCTAATAGTGTCCTTTTTTTTGCACGAACCTTGCATGGTGGGCAAAAGGTGACTGCTTCAAAAATTCTTTATCAGTAAATCAATTAAAATGATAAAAAAATAAATTGCTGAACGTAACTTTAAGGTAAAATTTATATCATATAATCAACACAACATTAATTTTGAGACATTATATTTGGAAGAAATTTATAGTAATGTTATGTAATTGATAGTAACATAACATTAATGTTGAGACATTACATTTCGAATAAATTTATAGTAATGTTATGTAATTGATAGTAACATAAAATTATTGTTGAGACATTTCGTTTGGAAGAAATTTATAGTAATGTTATGTAATTGATAGTAACATAACATTAATGTTGAGACATTTCATTTGGAAAAAATTTATAGTAATGTTATGTAATTGATAGTAACATTACATTTCGAAGAAATGAAAAAAATTTAAAAATGGTACTAATTATTTGCATTATCTTTTTTTTAAATCATCTTTAAGCAGATTTTTCTGTATACTAGTCTATAAAATTAGATAAAAAGTATATTTAGTCTATAAATTAGTATAGTTAGTCTATAAAATTTACTAAACCTTATTTAATCTATAAAAGTACAGTGTAGATTAATGTGACATAAGCATTTTATTATGTGTGTGCTATATTTTTCCTCTGTGGTAACATTTTCTTTTAACTGATGTGTCAACAAAAACTTGACGGTATAGCGTTCATCTTCGAATTTAATTATGTTGTAATTTTGAATTCACATTAGACAATTCGAAGAGTAGGATATAAGTAGGTTATAACCGTGTAGGTTAAAACCGTTGTTACAGCTGACCCAATTTTTGAGCTTTCGAGTACCAATATTCATTTCCGCAGCCTTGTAATTTTGAACCCAATCCAGAAGACAAGGGAACTCCTAGATCAAGTATTGGGAGAAATTTGCCTTTGTAGAGAACTTGATGGAACTAACCCGCATTTGCGTTACATGAAGAGAAAAATCACGAGAGCCTTCCACGGTTAGTCTGACTGCTAGGGACCTCTAAAAGATGATCCGTTTACCACTGAGGATTTTTTGTATCAGCACTGTGGTTGGTGTAAGCCGAGTGCGGTATTCATATTGACCAGCCATCACTGGGATTCGAACCCAGACACCTTATTGGGAGGCAAGCGCTCTATCCCCTGAGCCACCACAGCCCAATTTCACACATTGAGTAAGCTACATCAGTATTACTTGAAAGAGGAAAGTATCAGACTCTCTCAGGTTTTGTCTGACAGTGGATAGAGCCTTCACTACTGATACAGACTGATCACGTTTGAATCCCGATTGATATTGTCTGACCATCAAGAAAAAACCTCCCACAGGAAGCCTTTCCCGGAAAGAGAAAAAACTGGTAGAAAAATTATTTCATTTATAGTTTTAATTGAGGAGGAATAAAAGATTCCTGTCTACTATGACTTCTTAACAACTATAGCATTTATTTATTTTTCTCGGCAACACTGAACTTTTCGACAGCTATAACATAGAAACAAAACTGTTGTTTTCCTGGAAAAATATTTTTTTCATATATTTTTGTTTTCCTATTGCGAGTTTTCTTCCATTAAAAAAGTTTTCTTCGAACTGAATACCTCATCATTATTCTTAACAAATCATGAATTGTTTTACAGGTTCCTTACTAAAGTATTTAAGAAAAAATGAAACAAGACTCTCTCCAAAAACTTCTGTACTATTGGATATGTGTATTCAAGTGTGCAGTGGCATGGCATACTTAGAACAGCATAATTATATACATAGAGATTTGGCAGCCAGAAACTGTTTGGTTGGTGAAGGAAGTGTAGTCAAAGTTGCTGACTTTGGACTTGCCAGGTAAAGTGTTTTCACTTTAACCAATTTTATTTCATTTTATAACCATCATTGAACAGCTGACCCAATTTTTAGGTTTACGACTACTAATGTTCAACTCCGTAGCCTTGTAATTTTGAACCCAGTCCAGAAGGTAAGGGAACTTCTTCCAATCCCGCATTTGGGTTGCATGGCGAAGAAAACGCGAAAACCTTCCACGTTAGCCTGACGGAAAAGGGCTCTAACCCATGATCCATCTACCATTGAGGATATTTTACGTCAGCACGTGCAAGCCATCGCTGGGATTCGAACCCAGTTCACCTTATTGGAGCACGCTTTTTTCCTTTAAGCCATCATGGCTCCACTTTAACCAATTGAACATTATTTCAATCTTTAGCAAATTTTCTTCATACGTGGGTATTATTATTATGTTTCAAGAATTACCGATTATCCGTAATTGCATAAAAATATTTATCAAATTATCAATGTAGCAATTTTTTCGGTATTTTTTTTAAAAAATTTCTCAGCTTCCTAAAGCATCGATACTGATTATCTATGTAGCAATTTTTTTGGGTTTTTTGTTTCTAAATTTTTTAGCTTCCAAAAATACAGATACTAATTTTAGTTTGAATTATTTGGTGAATGCTACACATTTCGAAGTAGAGAAGAAAAAATATCATCAGGTAAGCTTAAAGAAGTGTTTTTTCAATGTAGAAATTAAACCAAAAGAAATTTTTACTTGAAATATTACTCTGAATAAAATATAAAATTTGTAACTTAAAAGTCAGAGTGGTCCCTTTACAACCAGAAAAAATATCTAATTGCAATTAAGGTTAAGTGAAAATTTCATTACCTAAGCAGTTAAAACCTGAAGAGGCATATTAATCTGCTTAAAACAAACTGAAACAACCAAAATAATAGCACAGCAATGCAATTAATTAAAAATCTTCATTTTATATACATTTTAAAAAACAAAATTTTTGAATTTATATATAAGTTTAATTATTTTGAATGAATTAAAATATATATTTTATTCCTATTCAAACTGTACAGTATAGAAAAAAACTGCCATATTGAATAATTTTTTAACTAATGATCGGATCTTTGCGTACAAGGACTCGAAGGACAAGGAAGGATCTTAATCGTTCAATGGGGCAACCTCAAATATGTTAATTAGTGCAGACGATATTTTAGATTACGAAATCAGACACAAAAATGTATTTTCTCTGAATAAACATACGTTTTTCTTTTCAACCAATTTGGATTTCTGATTCCCAAAATATAGGGGATAGCCGCAATCTGGGAAGTATGGTCCCAATAGTTTGATCAGGAGAGCGTTTCAAAGTTTGGACCCCTTAATGTTGATTTTACTTTTTTGCCTATTTTGCCATATCTCAAGAACTTTTTCAGCGAATTTAAAAAATTTTGCTCACAATTCTAAAATTTGTCTATCCAAAGATAATTGCATGTAATAAATTACTTTTAGTAAATATTTAATTTTTTTAATTATTTATTTGATAATAGTCGAAAAGTTTTTTAATTGTAAAGTCTGCATCTTTTTACGTTATTATTTAAATAAATGTAATTTCTCATGGCAAAACACAAAATTTGAACACAATCGGTCAAATAGTTTCCGAGAAATCGAATTTTAAAAAAGTAAAATTTTTAAAAAGGTAGAGTCCTAGAACGTGAAGTCCCGCTCACTTGATCGGAATTTAGTTTTCTAGGTTTTTTCAAAATAGAACGTTTTTTATTTATTTATTTATCTTTTTTTGTGCATTGTACATTAAGGTTGGTACAATATGAAAGGTTTTGAAACCAGATAACAAAATATGTATAGAGTATGCCAAAAAAACCTCTGTCATCATCATCATCATCATAGTTGGCCAGACAGCCCAATGTGGGCCAATGCCTTCCTCTAATGATTTCTTCATAATGACATAACGGTCGTTTATCACTTAATACGATTAAATTTTCTCATGAACTCTTTGTCATTAGTGATAATTCATTTCAAGAATAATGTAACTTTATTTCTTTTCCAGGTATGTCATTGATGATGAATATACTAGTTCAGGAGGAGCAAAGTTTCCTATAAAATGGGCCCCACCAGAAGTGCTTGGTTACACACGGTTTAGCAGTAAATCAGACGTCTGGGCCTATGGTAATGTTTCATTTATTTCAATAAGAAAACCAATAATAGCACTAGATTATATTCAATATATATATATATATATATAAATANTAATTACGAGCAAAAAAACCATTTTTCTAAGTTTTATTTATGAGAGTGTCTAATAGTTACAAAAAAAATCTGTTAGATTATCGGAATTATATTTATAATAAAATACGAGAAAATAGTTTGGAAAGAAAAATATTTCATTCGTATTCAAAAATTTATTTTGATTTGATCAAATATTTGATTTTTTTAATTAAAGAAACTTCGATGGTGAATAACTGTTTATTTTAGTTGTTGTAGTTCATTTACGTCGCTCTAGAGCTGCACAATGGGCTATTGGCGACGGTCTGGGAAACATCCCTGAGGATGATCCGAAGACATACCATCACAATTTTGATCCTTTGCAGAGGGGATATGGCACCCCCGCTTCGGTAGCCCGACAACCTGCACACGAAGTCGAGCACATTACGGAAGAACAGTTTAACGATGACCAATACCGCACACCCTCGGTCCCTACGTAGACGGATCCAAGTGGTCACCCACCCACACACTGACGGCAGCCATTAATGCTTGAAAAATATAAAGGTCAAAAGAGTGTTTCAGGTTTTGACCCTTATTTATTACCTGAAGAAGGGAATAAATCATATCAAAACGAAAATACAGCGCAAAACTGTATCAGAGCTAAAAATAAAACCCACTTACACTAAATTTAATAAGGTAATTTTTAACTTTGTGCATGGGTAGAAATATATTTGATCCCGAGTGTACCGTATAAAATAAAGAGGACATTAAAAAAAAATTCTTAATATTTTTTTCAAGTCAAACATTTTCACGACTATCTACGATTATCGAAATTAAAATAAGGAATAAATTGGAAACGTACAAAATAATTAAAGAATTTTATTATGTAATTAAAATTTTTAACAAATTACCATTTGGCTCTCGGAAAATAACTTGGAAAGAATAATAATATAACTATCAAGTAGTTTAATAATGGAGTTTTAGGATATCACCTAAAAAATTTAAAAAAAAACCAGCCATATTTTGATGGAAATAATTTTATTTCGCACAGAATATTTTACCATCAGCTCAATTTTTACGCTATAATGACATAATTAAAAAAAAAAAAACAGGTACCCGTCGTAAATCGAGAAATTAATATAGAAGTTACGGGATTGAATTATTAAATTTGTACTTACGTAGATAGTTACTTACTTTATAACACTAGATCGATCAATCATCAACAACAAATCAGCCATCTTCTGAAAACAACGTTAAGCATAAAGTAAACGATTGATTCTAAATGTTCAAATATTAAGAAAAAAAAAAGCACTTCAGTCTCTGATAATTTTTCAATTAAATAAATCAGAATAAAACATCTTTTATAGGTAACAAGAATGCTTTCATTGCAAAGCAGGACAATTATTTGCTTTTTAAGTCCAAAATACACAAAACCATACAAGAATATTTCGCAATTATTCAGCTATTCAGATTTAAAACTTTTTTCTTCAAACAAGATTTGTTCTTTATTGTTTATTATGGAATTACATACATTTGCAGGTTTGTGTGCTCAATTTAGGCTAATAAATCTTTGCCAAATAGAAAGACAGATAGCGCGCTACAGAGAAGGATAGCACGAAGATACTTCCTGGGTAATAGCGAGTTTCGAACCCGCTACCTCCACGCTTTGCACAGCGTTCGGCGAGCGATACCGCTCGGTGGTCTCTTTGTTCTACAATGGACTGCGGGGGCTATTCCCTCTGCAGAGGATTAAAGTTTTGATGACATCTTCAGATCATTCTCAGGGATGTTTCCTAGACCGTCGCCAATAACCCATTGCTTAACTCCAGAGCGACGTAAATAAAATACCTACCTACACTATACTGATCATAGAATACTCATACCCACTCTCTTTTTATCGATAGTCGAACCAGCTATTATTTGATCAGTTATCGAACCCACTCTCTTTTAATCAATCCTCGAAAACGTTATTTTTTGGGGTTACTAGAACTCACAGTGTCTCATAGTGGACTGACACAGTGCCCCACAGTCCCAATAGATCCTTGAAGTCAAGCATCACTGGCAGCGGTCAGAGAGAGGGTGGGTGACCGCTTTAATCAGCTAGTGAAGATATGTTTTGTTTTTCGCGCATAAATATGCAGACTTATATATGTGTGAATATAAAGAACGGGGTGGTAGGGCGTTAGACCCATGTCTTAAAGGTTGTGAATGCTGTCTCCCCTACCGAAGAACAAAATGGTGACTGGTGCACGTTAAATAGGTTGGGGTCACTAGGTCCTCCAAGTTCCCATAATAAATCTATACCACTAATTAGGAAATTGATCATGCTCTAGTTCAGATCAAAACTACGATCTGAGGATGAATGGATGGTGTGAGAATGTTTCCGGATCATCCTCAGACATGCGTCCCAGAGTGTCGGTCACAACCCACTGAGCAGCTCTAGACCGACGCATATAAAAAATTACGAAGAATAAAGAACGACCTTTAAATGAAGTCAAATTAAAAAAGAAAAAATCAGCACAAATAAGAAAAGGGCAGATTTCTTTATCGTTAACAAATAAAATTTAATTGAAGAATTATTTACGTCTATTTCCATACAAATATCTTCGAATAATAGAAGTTTTACTCCTTAGAGCACTAGTCCTGTGCTATAAGCTAGAAAAGTCAATAATTTGAAAGTATTTTTCTTAAAATTATGCAAAGTGTTCCATAATGGGAGCCCGCTATACATTTTTAAAATCCTTGTCAAAAAAGACGTTGTAGTTCATTTACGTCGCACTAGAGCTGCAAAATGGCGACGGTCTGGGAAACATCCCTGAGGATGATTCGAAGACATGCCATCGCAATTTTGATCCTCTGCCAAGGGGATGGCACTCCCGCTCGGTAGCCCGACGACCTGCTCCCGAAATCGAGCACTTTATGGTAGAACAGTTTAACGAGGACCAATACCGCACACCCTCGGTCAGTACGCAAACTAATCCAAGTGGTCACCCACCCGCACACTGACCGCAGCCAGTGATGCTTGACTTCGGTGATCTGCTGGGAACCGTGTCTTAACGATCAGTCCACTGCGGGACGTCAAAAAAGAAAGAATCGTCAGAAGTCACGAATATTTAAACAAGGAGAAAATAAATACGCTATCAAAGTTAACGAAATACTGTATAGTGGCTCTAAAAACACTAAATAAAATCAGCTCCATTGAGAAAAAAAAATCAGAAAAAGTTGCATGGCTATTTCTTCTAGAAACATCTCACAATTTCATCAGGAAGTCAAATTGGTTTTGAGATTTTTCATCTTGCCGAGCGTTACTTTCTTCTTTCTTGTTTAGATATTAATTTTGTGATACCAAAGGCCCCATTTTTCAAAGGAATCTAAAAATTTGTTAACGGTGATTATAGTATATTTCTCTGAATGTGCTCGTTATAGTGTTCAATTGTTGCCGATAGATGAGATTTACATGTCGGAAAAAAATCAAAGATATTATAAATTTGATAATATTATTAGTAAATTTTCTTTTAAGATAACTTTTATAGGAAAAAAAAATTTTTTTTTTTGACCTATGTTTTATAAACTCATCATCTTTTCAAAAAGGAACACAATTTAAATTGTCACAAAAACATTCAAAGTGTAATTTTTAATTTCGTTCTGCTTAATGGATTAACAATACTCCCATTTTAAACCACAGCTTTAGAAATGAGGGGAAAAAATTTTGCCGAATATATATACTTACTAAGAAATTTTATTTTAAGTGATTGAAAAATTTAGAGAGATCAAATTAGTACTATATTTATTGTTAAACACTATAGCAACCGCGTTTCTTTCCTAATTCTTATTAAATCGACATTCGAGTTCAATATTGTTTGGGAAATCTCCAACTTCTTTGTTAAGAGCCGCACAGCGTATAGAAACTGTTCAAATTTATTACAAAAATAATTACTTTATTTGGGATATACACTACTTGATCATTTTTGGTTAAAAGGTACGGTAAATGAGTCAAATTGTCGCATTAGGTGAAAATACTTTTTTTTGAAAATACAACTTCCGTGTTAGTCTTGAAAAGAGTTTATTACAACCACTGTTTGGCTGGATTTATAATCTGAAACAAAAAACGCCACAGAAACATAATCTATTTTTTGCTGTTGTTGTTGAATGAATTGGATGATTTTGACAAAAAAGTGTTGTTACAACACTATGCATCCCGAGACACAGCCCTATCATCTTAATCAGAGAAAAGTTCAGCGATTGCTTCGATCTTCAAAACTACCGAAGTAAACTGTCTATCAAAACCACGCAATATAACTTCATTGGATTTTTTCCCCCAAGGCTTATGCTCAATTATTGGTTTACTGCAATAAACCACAAAAATTTTATGACTTTAAAACTTAAATTATTTGTGTAATAACAATTGTTGAAATAAGAGCAAATTTATGCAGAAAAAAAGAGATCGAAAATAGGGGGGGGGGGNGAAATTGAATTTTTAAACAAATCCAGAGGTGGTTATTTCCATCAAATCATTTTTAAATAACATCCTATATCTTTACGCTAATATCTAATTCATACAAACTTATGTAAGAAACAAGGTCAAAAATTGGAGGCTCAAAATTGAAATTTTAAATATAAATCCAAAGGAGGTCATTTGTAAGAAGTCATTATTGAATAAAATCCCATTTGCTAATATCTAAAATAAAATTATACTAATAACATACATTGTTTTATTCCTTCACTTTTTAGTTAATAATTTTTATGTGACTCATATGCCATCTTAGTAATGTTTGCTCTTAAGTACATTTTAAAAAACTGCTATAAAACAAAAATATATACACAACATATTCATGAGATCAAAAAAGCTTTATTGTTAGCATGCTAAAGCGATTATCTTATTTCCCTCAGGTGTTTTGATGTGGGAAATCTTTACATGCGGAAAAGTTCCTTATGGACGAGCTACAAATGCTGAAGTAGTAGAACAAGTTCAAAGAGGCCAGAGATTAGATGTGCCAAGATCTTGTCCATGGGAAGTGTATGTCATCATGAAATCTTGTTGGGAAGAGGTGAGATCTTAAAATGTTTCCAATTTCAAAAGATGCATTACTTCAATAACATTAATAAATTGCGTTTTATTTATAATATCTGTATTTCCTGAATCTGAAAGTCACTGTTTTCTAGAATAAGAAAAGTAAAAGATAAATGAAAATCTTTTCTGTGGGTTACATTTGATCTAATGTTTAAATTCTTACATACTAAGTAGAAAACTAAATGGTTCAAAAAGTTAACCTTAAATGTGCGAATTAATTAGTGATGATCTTAATTAAAATCAGACACAAAAGCACCCTTCTTCGGAATTAATACCTTTTTTTTACGATGGATTCGGAGTAATGAAAATCGTATTTTTAAATTTTAATTTCACAAGAAATATTTGGCTGATTTTGTTCAAATTTTGTAGTATTTTCCAACCATTATTAAAATGAAATACAAAATTTAACACACATAAAAATGATATGTTTGGAAAAGTGAGTCTAGCAATTGGGTTAAAAAATTTTTTTGATTCTTTTAAATAATTCCATAACTATGGTCAAATCCTTAAAAAGTTAAATTAATATTAGGGGATCCAAACTTTTGACCACTTTTCGGGCTGATGTATTTAAACCATATTTTGATGGTCAAAAACCCGAATCCGTTTGCAAAATACGTACGATAATTTAAAGAAAGTACATTTTTTAGTCATATTCCGTAACTTAGATTATTGTCTGTACAAATTAGCATAATTAAGGTGAACTTCTGCCACCATTTAGATTTAATTTTAGTATGTGAAAATTAGATCATTAGATCAAAAGTTACTAAGGAATTCCGCTTTTTATTTTGCACTGTACATCAGAAGTATGTGATAATTGAAGTACATAGTTCCAGTGCTAATAGTTAACTCTATTTAATCCCTTGTAGATTTATTGCATCGAAATAAACTCAAGGAAACCTCTGGAACCAGCGTAGCACAGGTTTACATTAACCCAGTAACATAAGCATTCAGCATCACAAGTCCAAATAATTCTAACTAATCAAAACACAACATGCATAGTAAAGAATGCTTTCAGGCAAATGTGGCGTTTAAATGCTAATAAGTAGAAAAGAACGACGCTGAGTAATTTCAATCTCTTTTGAAGTCAGAAAGAAATTCTCTCCACTTGACAGAATTGTAATTAACATCTGAAACGAATTCTCTTCGATCACGATAGGCATAATTGTCATAGACTTCATCATAATAACGGTCATGCATTCTCGGTGCAGTGTTTTTCTTTTGGTCATGGCTACCTGGCTAAAATAAAAATTAAGACAAAGTTTTTTAAAAAAAGAAATAAATGCTTACATATTTTTAAAATAATTGCTTGAGTCATTACTCATTTCTACTTATCTAAGTGCGTTATTTATTACTTAAAAAAAAAGCTCTAATCTATTTTTCATGTAAGAGGTTTTAGAGTTAAGTAAGATCAAGTTATTAGAATATGTCACTGTTTATTTTCCAAAGAGAATCTTAAATTTCCCAGATTATCATTATATGTTGATGAGGAGCAAAGAAATCCTCCCAATAAAAAACTTCTACTCACATTTTGGATAGAAAACTAAAAATCAAATTCTTTTCGTTTTTAATATTTAGAGTCTTTATAATTTAAATTTACTAGCAGTACAAGTTTAACGAAGTCCACTTTAACAAAAGAAAATCCACCATTGCATGCAAGACAACACAAATATTACATGCAATCCATATAAAACACTTGTTCACATATAACATATGAGAAAATCTAGTTAGTATTGCAGGGAAATATATAAGTTGGAAGATAAGATTTTTACCAGCAGAATATCCACTGAAGTGAGTAAACAAATGGCAATTCTTATCAAGTTTTAGTTACCAATTCAAAGAAAAAAATTTAAAATTTTTGAAATATTAATCTGATTGAAACAATATTTTTACTCCTCCTGAAAGTGTAATAGGAAACTAAGCTCCTTTTCTTAAAAAGAAAGAAAAATATGCAGAACCTACAAGAAGTAATGTACAAAATAAGCAAAAACTCTCCATTTCTTTTTTTGCAATAATTTTCTCAAGAGCAATTTTGAGAAAAATGTCCTTTTTTTGATAAAATTTTCAAATTTCAGCATAAATCTAAAAAAAAAAAAATCGTGAAAATGGTCGATTAAATGAATGTGATAAGTAGCTACCATCATAGTGTAGTGGAATAAAATATTAACTAAGTCTGATGCAAATAAAAAAATATGAAATCAAATAGAAACTCACTAGGGTGCTAATGGGTCAAGTATTTAATTGAGAAATGTAACCCCCTCTTCAATGGTAGAGCTAGAATGTGAACTATGATTGGAACATCTTTGTGAAAGAAGGCTTGACTTATTAAAAAGTTATAAATAATTTTTACAAGGAACAGGAATATCAATGGCACTTAAATTTTATTGGCTGCTCATTTCAAATGTCTACAAGTGTAGAAGATTCCTCATTTTAAGCTTTATAATTCAGAGTAGAAGACAATTTGCTCTCAAAAGGTTTTATATATCTATATAGATATCTTAAAATTAAAACTGATGAAAGAAAAATCTACTTTTCAGCTCCCAGAGAACAGGCCACCTTTTAGAGCATTGAAATATGAACTGGAAAAGATTTTAGAAGAATGGGACATTAGTTGAACAAGTTAATATGGTAGACCTATGCCATCTGTCTTTCACTGAAAAGTATCCACCAACAATTATCATTATTCATGAACTATCATCAAATTCTATAGAATTTCATTATACGGAATTATATTTTGCTTCACGCACTTTATCAAACATTTGTGTAGAACATACCTTTTTGCATATGATTGTTTAATAAACATATTTAAGTTTTTGTTTTATGTGTGTGATTTGTAAGAATGAATTCAGAGCAGCAAATTGTAATAAAGGTAAGCAAGATGGATACTCATTCTAGAGCTAAGATAATGAAACTAAAATACTTTGTAAAAGCAATACAACATTGATTTAAATTTAAGTTCCAATTTTTTTACCAATATATATTCAGATTTTTTATTATCAGCTCTTTTCATAATAGCACTTAATTAAGGTGAAAAATTCCTTTACAGTTAAAAGGAAAAACTGAAAGCAAATAACACGTCGTGAAAATATGTTAATTCAATTTGTTTCAATGTAGAGAAATTTTCTACACAATCTTAAATTTATAGCAAAAAATAGAAATTTGTGTTAACTTTATATTAATAAAAACTTCCATCTGAACAAAAAAGTTTAATTTAAAAAAAAATAAATAGGCAAAATAATAAGTACTTTAAAAAAGAAAAAAAAATTAAATGTTATAAAATAAAAACTTTGCAAAAAGAAGTTCCCATCTAATTTTGCAGTCATATAAAATATACATCATAATAGAAATAAATAAGGAAATAAAAAAGAAAAAACGTTAATTTTATTTTTATTACTATGCATTCCATCTTTACAAAAAAAAGTATTTTATTCTTGCTTTATATAAAAGAAAACACATCTTCTATTTTAATTCCAATATAGTAAATTAGATTGAAGTACAGAATGACTTCCTCTTTTATAAGATTAACATCCACACCTAACAGCACTATCTACAACCAAATCTACGCCCAAAAACATTTAGTAATGAATGATAACTGGCAGCCAGCAAAGAAATTGTATGAATTGAGCATTTATTCAATAATTTCTTGTAAGCACAGGCATGCTTAAGTTGTAAAGTTATAGGAACAAAAGAGATTCACTTTATAAGTTGATAAGCAGTATACTAAAAGAGATTTCAATTTTAATGGCATACCCGCCAACTTTGGAGAAATAAAATAACGGAGATTTTACTAATGACATTTTTTGAGCTGCGAGTAAAGTTTTGATACATCATGCATAATCATGTAAGTCAAAATTGAAAATAATCTAAGCACTTACATTCATTTAAGTAAAAGATATGTATATAAATATTAATCTAAAGAAGATTTTTTTAAACCATTATTTTTAATTCCTTAAATTATAAACACTCAACATACTGCAATAACAATAGAACCATCTTTTGAGGGATAAGATAAATATTTTTGCCATTAGTAGATATTTTATTGCCAAAATTCTTTTTTTTTTTTTTTTTTTAAATTTCTTCCGCAAATAAGGAGAAATTTGAGAATATACGTGTAAACAGGAGATAGTCGTAAAATACAGGAATCTTCATTAAAGATCAGGAGACTTGGTAGGTATGTAATGAGATATAAATGAAATATTAGTGTACACTTACAGAATTTTTAGATAATGCATTCAAAAACACAAAACAAATAACACAAATACAAATTTGTTTTCCTTTATTTATTATACATAAATTATAGGAACTTAACATACAGAAACGAACTTTTTACATTCACAGGCATTACAAAAATAATCTAACAAAACAAACATATTTAATACAAATGGTAGGAAATGACGAAAAGTAAACATGAGATCAAAACATGCTCTGCATGCTGTGTTTTATCACAAATAAACAATTTTATATTTTTACGATTGATATATTGCATACTAAGAAAATTAAACTAACAATCATATAAAAATCTTCAGGATGCATATAAATATTATACGAAAACCTTAAAGAGCATTCATAACACATTTTAAAATAACCCTCATACAGAAAACATATTTAAGTTAAAATTAGTCGAATAATAAACTTTAGTGATTAAATAAGTCACAAATAGAGTACTAAATAGTTCTAGAAAATGAATTTGGAAAATATTAAAAACTTGACTAAATTGTAGTAATACATTGAAAAAAGAATAAAACTGTCACTAAGCACCATTAATGTTGTTGAAAATGCCAACTAATTAAACGTAAAAAGAGAATGCTCCTTATAACAGTGTAGATTTGAGCGATACAGTTCATAAAAAGTTTGGATAAAAACATACTGAATGTATGTAAACTAGCCAACATACAAAGTCATCATGAAAGTTTTAAATTCATTTGCAGAATTAATAAAATATAATTTTGAAAATTTAACAATGAAAATTTAAGACAAAAAAATTCAGAATAATTATAATTGAAAAAAAAAAAGAATAGAAAAAAGCATGAGGAGACTCGAATGAAGCAATAAATAAATTAAAATATTGAGAGCCTGCTAAGATGTTTTTAAAGTATAACAATTATATAAATAATTCAGACTTCTAAAATAAATAAATTAGTTGAAAATTATAAACATGTGATTAAACAATCATACATAATATATTTTCTAAAATTTTCAATTCATTTTTGGAGGAGATAAAAAGCAGATACTAAATAAAACGTCGAACATTAAAAAGAATTATTTTGTAGGCTTTCGTTTTCTCTCTCTTAGTATCATAGTCTGAAAGACAGAAAAAATGTGTGTAAAATTTTATTATTTCATACAAAATTCACAGTTCAGTATTAAGCTATACTAATAAATTATTATGAAGTATTGTCTTTTAACAAGAATTATTGATATTAAAATTTTCAGGGGAAATTGTGACACAAAGTTAAATACCCTGAAAATTTTCTGTGCAAAAAAATCAATATCAAGTTATATAGCATACATGTTTCATATTTAACATAATTTTTTAAAAATAAAATTTATAATCAAATTACCTACCAATGAAGAATATTACACTTTTATAATAACTAATTTAAGAAAATCTTAGTTCTCACACCAGGGGTGACAAACTTGCGGCCCGAGATGAACATTTTTGCGGCCCAGTCAATATATCCAACGCAAAGTAAAAATAAAATAGAAATGTGAATTAGAATGGAAACTAGCATATAAAATTATAATATACTTTATTTATAAACTATACGGATCATTTTAAATTGCACGTGCGAAAATGTAAAATTCTAATTAGCTTGCGGCACCTGCCATTCCAGAGATACTGCATCTTATCAAAAATACACAGAAAAAATTTCAAATCTTAGAACGGAATTTGAAACAAGCTTTAAAGATTTTAATTCTTTGGAACACAAATTTTGTTTGTTTTCTTCGATTTTCTCAATAAATATAGACTCAGTACCCAGTAATATGCAAATGGAAATGATTGAGATTCAGTGCGACTCAAATTTGAAGACAAAATTCATTGAAGTGGGTGTGCCTGAATTTTACAAATATTTACCGGCAAGGTTTGAAAATACTCGAAAATTCGCATATGAAATTATTTCCATGTTTGGAAGTACTTATCAGTGCGAGCAATTTTTGTTGTTATGAATGAAAATAAATCTCCTGCCCGAACCCATATTAATAGCTCTCGTTCGGTCAATTTTGAAAGTAGTCTCGGGCAATAAAATTTCTCCCGAAATAGGAAAGATAGTAGCAGAGAAGAGTTGTCAAACAATAATTTTACTTTATATATGCTTATTACAATGTACTATTCAAAATAAAAATATTTGTTTCTGTAAACACTGATTTTTTAAAATTTTTTTTTTGAGGCCCACCTAAAGTTAAGCATTGTTTATTTGGCCCAAGTTTGCTTTTGAGTTTGACACCCCTGTCTTACACTAATCGCAATATTGGATTTTGAAATTGCGACACCGGATTTTAAAAATTGCTAGAATACAAGTTGCGATATTGGGTTTCTTAAAACACATGAATACGAATCCTAATACGTAGCTTATAAAGCACACAAAAATAGGAAAAAATTGATGTTTAATATTCCAAACAACTCATGTATAAAAATCGCACAATTTAAAAAAAAAAAAAAAAACGCAAATACAAAACACGACATTGGAATTTTATATCACACGAATAAGAACCACGATGTATGATTTTAAAATGAAGCGAATATAAATCACAACGTGTAACATTTAAATTAGGTAAACACGAAAATCGATGTTTGATATTCAAACCGGGAGAATGAGAATTGTGGATATTAACAGATTACGGTACAGTTCTAAATGGCAAAAATTCGCCAAACAAAAAGGATCAAGTTAACAGAAGAATCAAGTGCCTTCAAGAGTCTCATTAGCGAGAGTTTCTAAACTTGAATTTTAGTTTGAGGAATTCCGTGAAAATTTCGTCTGATTATAAGCTTTTGATCAACGAAAGTCATAGAATCAATGGTCTTGAGAAACTCAGAATTTCATGATGTTTTTAGAAAAATCATATGCCCAGCTTCCTATTTTCAGACCTCTAAAAATACAAAAAATCCGGAATTCCCAGGGACACCGAAATACAATCCCCCCTGAACTCAAACCAACACTAACTATTATGAAAATAATTGTTTTTTTTTTTCCTACTTACTTTTTTACTTTTGGACACCTTCAAAGGTCGACTTTTCACAGATTTGAATTCTTCATCAGATTCAGGATCACTTTCAGTGAGCATATCTTCTCTTCATGAAGGGAATCAAAATATCAAAATTATTAATAAATTATGATAAATACTTAAATACCAATATAGTCATAGATAAAAATATCCAATATAGTCAATCAAAAAGCATAAATTATAGAAGTCAACAAGATATTTATAACCATAAACGGGGATATGATAACAAGACATTATAAAAAAGGACACACATATTATTAGGTAAAATAGAAAATTTCGAGGTCCTAATTTCCTGCCTTTTAGGAGCCCAAAATATAAAAACCAGAGACATCAAAACACAGGACAAAAAAATAGAATATCTTAACATTATTAGGTCTACACTCTGGTTAAGAAATAAAAACTTACAATAAGTTGCGTTAAATTGAAATAATAAACAGAAACAATTCCTTAAAAATTTCAGGTGAATGATATATTGACTCATCAGAGAATAAGTATGTATGGTTCAGAGAAATTAAATCTCCACTTTATACTCAGAGCATATCAAACTTCTAATATATTATAATTCAAAATCTGGTGCTTTGTTTTATTGTAAAATATCTTTCCTTCAATTTCAAATGAGACTTGTCAGCAGATTGGTATCTATCCAAGTGATGATAATTCTAAAGCAAGCTTTTTGAGCATATATTAGCAAATTATATCAAAAGTTGTGCTTAAAACCGAATATAATAGGCAGATAAAAAGTGATAATCAGTAAATAAATTTAAAGTTAAATAGATTCTAGTATACAATATAATAGTTTTAAATAATTGAATCAAAACTCTATACTTACTCATTACTCTGCCTGGCAGCAGCAAGTTTAGCTCCTTTGTATAATTCTGGATTTTCAGCCATGAGAATGGCAAAATCTTCCTCATCTGAAAATAAAATGTGAAGATAATGAAATTTGTTTTAAAGGTGAATAATAAAATATGAAAATACAAAATTGTGTTAATATGTAGTTAAAATATTAATGCTTAATGATAGGTTATGTAATCAGCTTAAAGTAGTTCTAACTTTTATCAATGCAAACAACCAGAGGACAGAAACTCATAAAATCAGCAAAATATTAAAAAAATTATTAAGACTTAAAATAGGCAGATGGAAAGTTTGAAATGAATTACAATTTGCTTTTCAAATAATGTAAACATAAAAACTAGCTTTATTAGGAAGGATATTACTAAATTAACTCATGATAAATTCAGTGATATTAATCAGTGATAATTAATCAGTTATAATATAATTCAGTAATAAGTGATATTAAATGCCATGAGAATGGCAAAATCTTCTTCACCTGAAAATAAAATGTGAAGATAATGAAATTTGCTTTAAAGGTGAATTACAAAAAAAATATGAACATACAAAATTGTGTTAATGTAGCTAAAATATTAATGCTTAATGATAGGTTATGTAATCAGCTAAAAGTAGTTCTAACTTTTACCAATACAAACAACCAGAGGACAGAAACTCATAAAAGCAGCAAAATATTAAAAAAATACTTCAGAGACTTAAAATAGGCAGATGGAAAGTTTGAAATGAATTACAATTTGCTCTTCAAATAATGTAAACATAAAAACTAGCTCTATTAAGAAGGCTATTATTAAATTAACTCATGATAAATTCAGTGATATTAATTTCAGTAAAAATTATAAAGCATTATTGGTTAAAAGATGCATATGGCATTTATAAGTAAAGTTTAATATAGCATTTAAAAGTAAAAGAAAATGGGACAAACTAATAGACGCTTAAATAGGAATTAAATGACATTTCCGCGAAATGAAAATTCATTTTTTCTTCTCAAGCTAAGAAAAAAAAAAGGATTTTTTAAAGAAAATTTTTATTTTTACAAAAATTTATTTCAAGATATACATTCAATACAATTCCAAAATAAAACAAAACGATAATTAAGAGTTGGCAAACAGAGTATGATATTGAAATAAGTGAGAAAAAAAAGAGAAGTCAATAAAAAACTTTAAATAAATTCACAAAATAGGACTGATTTTTCTGTTAGCTGTAGGCCTCATTTTAATTCTATTCTAACTTATATCCTTGTTCCCGCTCTTAAACTTTATACTTAAATTTAAGGCCTTTTTAAAAAATTTTAAAAGGCATTTCTTTCAATTTTTTTAGAATCTTATAATCAGGGCATTATAAGAACTTAGGTTGGGTTTGTAGTGTTCTATTAATCAACGACAAATGCGCTAAGCTATGGACAAAATCAAATTCTTGCGTTAGTTTACTTTTGGGGTTTCACCTGCTTGTGTGATCACGTTCTGTCACTAAGAGAACAGCTGTTGAATGTAGGACCATACTGCATCAATTAACATAACAGATAAGAATTTGCATTTATTTTTAAATTAGGAATAATCTTAATAGTTTACTTTTGTTAGACAATGTTGGCATCGCCCTTATGCAAATCAGGATGGGTTTAAATAAACCTACCACTCATACTTCTATGCTGATTTCTGATATTATTTGTATGTGTTACTGTGATTGTTTTGCATACATTATCATGATTGTCATGCACCTGTTGCCACATTAAATTTTACCTTTTTGAAGCTCATCATCATGCATTTTCAATTGTGTCATATTTTTCATTAAAATTGGTCATCTTAAGTACTTGTGTAGTTTCTGATTAAAATTACCGTTGATTTCCTATGAACCTTTGCAGTTTTTTTACAGTCAGAGTGCATTGTCTTCATGGCATGTGGTTATTTTAGCACCTTTGGAAAAAGCATGCGGTAAGCCAATGCAACCCTTTACAGTATACACGTCAAATTGAATAGTATATTTTCCAAATCAGCAGTTCACATAGTAAGTCAAAAGATTTGAAAAAGAAGATGAATGAATTTTCATTTAATGTTAATTTTTTCCAGTTAACTTCAGGTTTCAGGCAAAAAATATTAATTAGGAGTTATAAGATTTATAAACATCTTAATGATGACATCAGACAACTTTTTTCATCACCATTATGACACTGACATTTTCAACCTACCCTACACTACATTTATTAGTAGCACATTTCAGTTATATAATCACAAACTACTATGGAATATCTTAAGTTTCAGAAAGTTTCCTTGTGGCAGTAAAAAGTTACTTTACCATTTTCCCATAGATGGAGATTTTTAAATTTTCTACAAAATGTTTGGCAGTTTCACATTATTTGTCGTATTTTTGTAATTTTGCAACTCAAAAGAATCTGAAGGACATGGAATTCATGACAGCTATCATAAAGAATAATATTGTTGTATTAATTTATTATATTTATCTTGTAAATTATTTCATTTGATTTATTTTGCTACAAATTTAAGCACAAATTACTGTAATCTATTGGCATTTTCCAAATATGTGAAAATATAGAATCTAGTAATTATTTCTTTTAAAATTTTATTTTTATAAAGTTATATCTACGTTAAAAAGTTTTTCTTTGTCACATTTTTAATGAAATTTTTTTTTCTACAAAAACCTATGTTGGAGGGTATGCATTTATTGATCCCTTCTAATATATTAGAGATTGAAGTATTTTGCGAGAGGAAAATAAAAAGCAAAACCAACCTAAGTTGTTTTCATCAGACACACTTCCTTGTGAAGGAGAACTAGCTTCTTCTCTTTGTGAACTCTGCATCACAGCACTAGCTTGAGCATCACTATTAGTTCTTGGCAAATAGTTAGCAGCAGTTACTTGTCCCTGAAAAAAAGATAGATGTTTTATTTCAGTAAATAGTTTAAGCTCTTTTTTTCTCAATTGACAAATACAGAGAGGTGAATGAATTTAAAAAGATACAATAGCAAATTGAAGAATTTAGTCCAATTACAAGTTCAGATTCATAAATTGTAAGTAAAGTTAAATTTAAAAAGTTAACAATAGACTTGCAGAATTCAGTAAGTGACTGCTGAATTAAATTTGTCTGTGATTCCAACGTGGTCAGACAGAGATTAGCATTGTAAAAATTGAGCTTAAACATGTATCAAAATTAACAAAGATTACGTCTTTAAAAATTATACATAAAAACTTTATTTTGTTTAAATTTAAGTTAAATTTTATACAATGATACTAAAAAAATGGAGTAAATCCTTATACAGTTAAGCTTGTAATCAAATAACAGAAAACTAAATTCTTTACTTTTTATTCTTTGTAGAGTTCTCACATTTCAAAATTTAAATTTGAAATAATATTAAAAATGCTTTTTGTTTTATTTTTAAAAAAAAGTGTGTTAGCCCCCCTCCTATTTGTTTGCTTTTAAACATAAACAGAAAACTTAGATGAACTTATTTTACATCTGTGCCCTGTTCTTGCACAAATCTAAATAGCTATATAGTCTAGAGTCAAAAATGCAATAAAATGAAAAAAATAGACACACCATATTATTACGGCAAGCCTCTAAAAGATTAACTAAATAAATAAGTTTAAGAATTAGTAAAAATAATTTAGTCATACCATTCGTAAGAGCTCTAAAATAAAATGACCTAAATAATCAACTCCTTGAGCACCAATTTTTCTGGCAATATCATATCCTTGATCCCACAGAGAGTCAATATAAGAATCTAGCATCTGGAATTTTAAAATAGCGAAGTTAAATTTAAAAAAATTATATTTAAGTATTTTTATGAAAATGCAGCATTTTAGAAATTTTACAATAAGCAACTGTAAATGCTGCAAAAATAAAAATAAATAAATTTATAATAATAACTAAATAATAAAAATAAACAAATAACAAGAAATAAGTTTTAAAAACCCAGAGTAAAAAACACTCACGGTTAGTTAGTTAAAAAAAAAAAATTAGCAGCAACCATAAAAGAATATGAATTTCACAAACAATTTAATTTTAAAGGATGTATAAAATTGTCAAATATAAACACTTTTGAAGACATCACAGAATTATTAGCGAAATTACAAACAGACTAGACATACAGAGAATCTATAAAAGAGAACTAGACAGAGAGAACTAATAATAATTTTTTTATTAGGCAGAACTTTGATCAATCATTTTTCAAGGGACGAACAATAGAAAATGACAAATGCGGGCCAACTTAAAAAATAAAATGATAGAAAATGTACGAAAATTAATAAATTTACAATAAGTAAAAAAAAATTAATTGAAAAAGTTAAGTACTACCTGCATTAGATTTGCAATGCAAAAGGATAAACAAATATATTAATTTATTTAAAATAATTGAAATCTTGTGCTTCTTTTGTCTTAACGCACACAATAAATTTTCGGCATTTATTGTACAGATTGATGTTCATTTTCTGAAAGTTTTGGTGTTCATTTTTTGAAAGTTTGCGCCAAGGCCTTTTGCAAATGTTTGTTCTAATTGATTGAGTTAAGTTTGGTCTTCATCATTTTCACTTTACATCGTTTCCACAAGTTACAACATTTTTATCAACTGATGCATAAACATCAAACCTGTTGTTTGAGGCATTTCACCCAAACTGTAACAAATCTACATTTTCTTCATTATTAGTATCAAAAGTTACTGTTTTTAATATCAAAACAAGTTACCGTCAATTTTTTCCCCACATGTCCGTAGAATTTTTGAACAATAGAAATGGGAATCTGCTGGTTTCAATAATGATCTAAATGGGTGTATTAATAATATTATAAGAACAGAATTTGTGACTGACCGTTAAAATAAGACGATACATACAGAAAATGAAAGATGCGGGAACAATGGATTGGGTTTTGACTGTATTAATTTATGAAATGTCCAAGCAATTTTCAGTACATTGAAGAGCCTCTTTCTTTTCCTTCCTTTCAATTTAGATCGGCCTATTTATGTTTCTGACAAGACAAAAATAAAATTATTTTCTCCCTTAATGCTCCAAAAAAACAAACTTTAAATATTTTTATTTTAGTTTTGTGTCTGAAAATTTAAGCAGGAAAGTAGTTGGAATTTTGATTGGCAACAAAACGTAGATAAAATTTGGTTCTAACATTTAAAAAATAATTGTAATGTGTATTGTCACAGTAGGGTTTTCATCATAATTTACCTTGAAAATAGATGCTTTAGTAGTTTTAGAATATAAAAAATAGTAGCCTAAATAATCTCTTCAAATAAATAATTAAGATGCTTCCTTCTTCTTATAATAAAAATTTTTGAGTAATTATTACAGGGTGCATAGTTAAATTTTGAACAAAAACTAAGCACCTTTTAAGCACTAAAAATATTTTGTAATTAGTTTCTTTTTTTTAAAAAAAAAAATCATGATTAGAATATGCTCATGTGTAAAAAATTTTTTTTCACACACACATATATATATAAAAATATATGAGCACATAGAATTAACAAAATGCAAAAACATTTTTAAGGACTTTACATGATTATGATAAAAAAACTAGTTTCTGAAGAAAGAACTCTTTTCTTGATTATCATAGCCACCATAACAATTTATGCACCATTTTAAATGTATTCAATATCGAGTTGATAATTTCCTTTTTAAAATTAATAATTACTTGACTTAATTAGATAAAAAAATATATTGGTCGTATTTTTTAAATTTAAATAAAAGTACATTAAACAAAAACATTAACAAGATTAATATTATTGATCATGCTGCATTTATAAAGATATGCAAAAGCAAACTAGGTAATTCTTAATAAAATTCATAATTAACAACTGGCCATTTTAAAAAACGAAAATTAAAATAAGCATTTTTTAAAAGCGCTGTGCATTTTGTATTATAATAAACCATATATACACACACGCATATATATATATATACTAAAACTCAGTAAGTAGTTTAACAACTCAAGGAGAGCAAAAGCCTATGCCCATCCCAGCGTTTTTTTTTTTTGACAAAGAGTTTATCCCCGTTTTTTTCTATCTTTTTTTGACTGGGGTAGATGTTCCAGTTAGTGATAATTTGAAGGTGGAACCCCAAGTGCTTAGTTCTCAAACATGTTAGGTACTTATTTTGTCGACCCACCAAAGGGATGAAAGGCTGAGTAAACCTTGTCCCTGTGGCACAGGACCACAAAGTACTGCCACCAAGCCTCATATACAAATCTTATGGTGCAACTAAAAAACAGGATTGGAAAAAATTTAGTTAAAAAAATGGAAAACAATGTTTTTGGTTCAAACTAAGTTTATTAAAAGCAAAGATTTAAATGATACTTAAAGCTCTAAATTAAATTTAATTAAACTACTATAAAGCACAATCAAAGGAACTTTTTAGCCGTTACTTAATATTATCAATAAATAATTAAAAAATATAAATTTTCCTTTCTTGAACAACTAACATGATAAAAAAAATATTTGAAATTTTTGAATATGATTATTCCTTACTTATATTTTAATTTAACATGTAAAGAAAAATTAGAAGTCAAATTTTTAAATTAATAATATATGTAAAAGAATGAGTTCCCCTTAGTTTGTGAGCACACATGAAAATATAATACTTTACCATTTTTTAATATCATTAATTTACAGTATTTAATTTACAGAATTTGTTCCTTCAAACTTTCAAATTGCAGTTAAAAAAAAAAAAAATTAAGATAATACANAAAAAAAAAAAAAAAAAAAAAAAAAAAAAAAAAAAAAAGACATTTGAAATTAGTGGAAATGATGAGAAGGTCTAAAAATATAAAATGGGCTGTATACATTGATAAAAAGTGACAATAAGATGTTTTATTATGAATGATTTAATTGAATAGAATAAGCAAAGAATAAACAAGCTTTTTTTTTAGATTTATTTTAACACAATTGAGCTTTAAGCAGAACAGAGCTTATAATGCAGCATTAAATAAAATAATTTACATTGATAATATTTTACATGAATTTAAAATATTTTCAAATATTTCTAAATAATGCTCTTTTATATAAACATTGTATTTTGGAAATATTAGAATCATTAATAAAAATATACTTCATACAATAAAAAATTTGGTTACAATAATTACTGAAAAAAATTCTAAAAATAAACTGAAAATGTGAAAAGCACTTTTCCCATTTATGCAAATGATTGTAGCAAGTACAATATATTGTTTAACAAGGTTTTTTTTCTCTCTCGGAAAAAAAAAGCAACTTTTGATCTTAACTCATTTAACATTTACATTTTTTAAAATAATTAAAAAAACTATCGGAACATGGAGTTGCAGACGGATCGATTTATTTTAAGAATTTTTAGAGATATTATGACTTAATTTTAAATTTACTCACATAAATTGGTATTAAATAAACTCTTACAGAACAGTAATATTAAGAAAGCATTTAAAAATTCACCCGTATCACATATGTTTATTTAAGGTAACACAGACTCGAATTGGTAAATTATATTCAAGATTAGAAAGATTTTTATGGGAAAGTTTACTATTTTTTTCATTCAGATATATTTAAAGTAAAAATCTATATATAAACAGAAAATTAATTGATTTAAATGATTTCTCTTTTTTTAAAAAAAGGTTATTATTTTTATTTAAATCAAAAAACTTGTTAAAGCAAAGTTTTTTTTTTCTTTTATCATTTTGATAGCTATGCTTAGAGTCTAATAATATTAAAATTTTCGTAAAAAGAAAATTAATGAAAATAAAATATCTCAAATTACTTAAAAAATACATTAGCATTAAGAAAATTTATGTAATATTTTTCTTTTTAAATAGTTCTATCTATAAACAAAATATTCAGTAAACTAAAATTAATAAAAGAGCAAACAATTAATGAAATTAAAACAAATACAATACAAATGAATTAAATATAATAATTAAGAAAAATATAGAAAGTATAATTTTAATTAGGATGATATGGTTAACGAGAAATCAAATTCAAATTAAATTACAGAATAAGTTAAATAGATTTTGAAATTTTGTGCTACATTGAAATAAATAATAAGGCAAGTTATTTTTTTTTTTTTAAAAATTAAAAATAATTATTTTACTATTGAACTATATTAAATTTTATTTTGGGGTGTTTTTTTATCCTATTAAGACTCATAGCTCTAGTTAAACTTAGAGCACTCTAGATAATTAAGAATTTGATGAATGAAATATTGTATTAGAAGTAAAATTTTGCTTGCAGTTGTGTAGAAATGCATGAGATTTATAATATTGTTTAACTTAGAAATTAGGGCTGAATTTTGACTATTTCCCTCATTCCATTCCCCCATGTATTGCGTTAGTAATGACAGAAATACTTTCTATTAAATATTTGCTATATCTAAGCGTGTGGCATATACAAAAAAAAAATTCTTTGTACTGATTTATATTTAATTACACACATTATTTATCTTTAATTACATTAAGCAGGTACCTTTAATCACTTTAAGCAAAAGCATTAATCAAAAATAAAAATTCAACTTTAAATACCTCATATCATTAAGTTAGCGAAACAGAAATTTTAAAAAAAAAATATTATTAGAATTAACCTAAAAGGGGAAAGTAATTTCAAACAAGAAAAATTAAATTTTTGTGAATGACAATTTTGATTGTCATTGTTCTTTATATTATGAATTACAAATAATGAATAAAATTTAAAAAGTTAACATTACCACTTCATGTTTGCTGAGTAGAGGGTTTATGACTTTTCTAAAAATAAAAGTTGAGCCTCTACTGGCAGGGCATATTAACCAAAAGATGAATAAGATCTTTAGTTCATAGTAGAAAGGGAACCTGAAATTATTAATAAGAAAAACAGAATTTAAATATTCAAATGAATAAAATAATTACAATGTTCAAAAACTTGTTAACTTACCAGAAAGACAGAAAAATATCTGCAAAAATTTCAATAATTGTATAAGCAGCAAAAACAATCCAGTACATCATCCATTTGACCTAAATTAGATTTGTATAATTAATTACCTACGCAATTAATTACAATTGTGAAATCAAAAACCTTTTTATAGTGAATCTCAAACTAGAATATGAAGAAAGTATTTTTTCTAAATAAAATGCATTCTTAAAATAAAAAAATTTCAAAAGAACTGGAAATTTTTTTTTAAATAGAAATTAAAAAGTTCGGAATATCAACAAATCAATGGATTGGAATGGATATGTAGAGTTGGGCCTCAGAACTACTCTATGTTTGTTTAGAAACACTAACTTTCCATTTTAAAATAAGTTTACAACATTTGATATACTGCACAAAAATTCAGTTTTTCCTCAAGGTTGCTTAATAAAATGCTCCAGATAAAAATGAAATAAAATAAAGGAAGGAGAATAAATAAAAATTTGGAAGTAAAAAAATTGTCTTCTTACATAGTCACGGACATTTTTTGTTTTTACTGTCTTGTATGATGCATAGGCAGGATAAAGGGTTCCGAAGATTAATCTAAACAAAAAATAAACAAATATTATAAAAAAAGCATGCAATGTAGCAAAAAGGCATAACATATTAAACTACAAATAGAAATTACTCAATTACAGATTATTACTTCAATCAAGGTAACTAAATTTAAAAATTTTAAGTCAGCTGAGATTTAAAATTAAGTGACATTCATGTAATTTGTATAATTATTTTTTCAAGACGTTAAGCAAATTATGCACTATTAAACACTAGCAAAGATTTTTTTTTACTCCTTAAAGAAAGCATTTATTTTTACAAATATAGAGTCAACATTTAGAAATAATTTCCAAACCTACTAGGCTTACGGAAATTCTCAAAAATCTTATCTTGGCAATTTATAACCATTAAAAACATTAATTGGCCCAAAAGTTTTCCAACTTTTTATTCAGATTAAAAATAAAAAAAAAAAGTTGAAAAGCTGTATTCTGCATACATGTAAAGTCCGAAAAAAAAAAGAAAAGAAATTACCCTGAATAACTTTAGTTCTAATGATTGGATTTTCACGAACTAAGTGTCAATCTTAATGGTTCCTGGGGTTGACCTCTGATATGCTTATTAGTGCTAACCATTAATTAAGTTACAAAATCAGACACAAAAACATACTCTCTCTGAATAAACATATATACTTTTTTACATATTTGGAATCCTGACCCTTAAAATAGAGGGGGGGGGGAGAGACAAAATATTAAAAAAATTGGGTCATAAATTAGGTTGCAATAAAAGTTTATACATTTAACAACAGTCCAGAAAACTGCCTACAAAAGTCACCGCCGCAAATGACTATTTTAAGATAACCCATAGACTAATTCAAAAGAGGAATACCTAATTTTACTAGGTTGCTAAGCAACCAAGCTCTGACTGTAAAAAAAATTGAAATAGTGTTCAGTGATTGCTCAGAGAGGTTTAATTAATAGAAAATATCTCGAAATTTTTAGGCGATAGACAACTTTTAACAATATTCTGTCCAAAAAGCAAAAACTTGTTTATTTTATCCTCCTTTGAAAAGAAAATTGGAATCGTTTTATAAATTATTTATGATTTTGTAAGCTTTTAGAATTTAAATACATGAACTTTTTATCTGACATTATTTAGATCAGGGGTTGCCAAACTTTTTTGATCATCGACTCCTACATAATTTTTCGAAATCTCCATCGACCCCCATAAAAGTAATTTTTTGTTAATTTAAATAAGATTCTA